ATAAACACTGTTTACGTTAAAATTGTGAAGATTTCACCAATGTTTGTTGCAAAATTCAGAATAGATACTTTTAGATACGTGTACTGATATTTTTGACCAATCGTTCGACTTGGTGTTTATTATCTGTGATGGTGTAATTGATGCTGTCCCAGGTATTTATGCACATATAAGCTAACCCCCCCGAATTGATCTTTGTTTTTTTGGTGTTTTAAATTCGGCTTATATTCGAGTATATACGGTACTCATCATATGATGCCGTAGTGATGTACGCCATTAAAAGTGTAATCTTCTGCCTCCAGCCCGTGCAGTCATCAGAGCACATGGCAGCCTTTGGTATGTTTGGTCTGTGCCAAATCCATGCCTTTGTGGACTACCTGCGCAGCAAGCTGAATGCCCAGCAGTTTGAGGTGTTGTTCAAGAGTGTCATCTCCCTGGTGGGCTTCCTCCTGCTCTCTGTCGGAGCTGTCCTCATGCTGACTGGTAAGAAGACATAGTGAATGGGGCATTTTTAAGGACACTTCTTTGTCACCCAATTTGTCAGTGTCTGTTTTTGGTCCAACTCTTGAGTCTAACTTCCTAACATTCATGCCCTTCAGGTAAAATCTCTCCTTGGACTGGACGTTTCTACTCCCTGCTGGATCCCTCCTACGCCAAGAACAACATCCCCATTATTGCCTCTGTCTCTGAGCACCAGCCCACGACCTGGTCCTCATACTACTTTGACCTTCAGCTGCTTGTCTTCATGTTTCCAGGCGAGCGTTCGCTCAGTGTTGTTGAAGCCTGTCTTTACTGAGTGACATGTTCTCTCTTGATTCACAGTTGCTTCTCTTTTCCTTACAGTCGGTCTGTACTACTGTTTCAACAACTTGTCTGATGCCAGGATCTTCATCATCATGTATGGAGTGACCAGCATGTACTTCTCAGCCGTCATGGTACGCTCTCAGGCTTTTAAAAATACTAATCATGATTATAATCAATGATTCTTTAAATTGTTCAGGCTAAATTATAGCATTCTTTAAATTGTTCAGGCTAAATTATTTCTACATACAGAAGATGATGATGATTGTTCTCTGTAGACTGAGTGACTTAAACCCTTTGTCTTTGGTTGTTGCTTCTTCAGGTACGTCTGATGTTGGTGCTGGCACCTGTTATGTGCATCCTGTCAGGCATCGGTGTGTCTCAGGTACTAACCACTTATATGAAGAACCTGGATGTGAGTCGGCCCGATAAGAAGAACAAGAAGCAGCAGGACTCCACCTACCCCATCAAAAATGAGGTGAGTGTTTTACTTTGGTGGAAGGATTGAATATGAACTACATGTATGTATTTACTGTATATTAAAAAAATTTTTTTTTTTAACATTTTTTATAAAATTATTTATTTTGTTTTAAACCCTACTCCTAGTTGCTGATGATCACAAAAGATAAAAGAAAAAGATAACAGTATTGTCCACTAAACTTATTGTTTGAAAAAGTTTGCACTTGGACTTTATTTAATTTTGTCATTTTTGGACTATTACAGGCATTGTTCTTATTTCACTGCTTCTGCAAAAATAATATAAACGGTAGATAATTTAGTTTTTTATCTTTGTTCTTTGTCTTATATTCCGTCAGTTGAAGTTGAAGGAATTCATCTACATCTTTGGTTCATCTGCTCTTTTTGCGTTCTCTCTCTCTGTCCTAATGGCAGTCCAAATTGCTCTAGTCAGGTCAGTGATAAGCAGAAGGTAAAGCTGAGTCACGTGATTTCCTGTTGCATACTTACCAGGTTGCCAGTGGAATGATCCTGGTCATGGCGTTCTTCCTCATCACATACACTTTCCACTCCACCTGGGTGACCAGCGAAGCCTACTCTTCCCCCTCAATTGTCTTGTCTGCCCGCGGAGGTGACGGCAGCCGCATCATCTTTGACGATTTCAGGGAGGCTTATTACTGGCTGCGCCACAACACACCTGAGGTCGGTTCTCACCACATAAATAAAGAATCAATCTTCTGTTTTTTTTTTCAATTGCTCACTTTAGTTTTTCTTCTCAGGATGCTAAAGTCATGTCATGGTGGGATTATGGGTATCAGATAACTGCGATGGCAAATCGAACCATTTTAGTTGACAACAACACATGGAACAATACTCATATTTCCAGAGTTGGCCAGGTGAGTTGTGCAAGCCGTTGGATTGGAGTCTTTTTCAGACTGCTGCAGCACTGACCGTCTGTTTGCTCTGTAGGCCATGGCCTCCACTGAGGAGAGAGCCTATGAAATCATGAGGGAGCTGGACGTCAGCTACGTCCTGGTCATTTTCGGAGGGTTGACGGGTTATTCTTCAGACGGTGAGGAATAATAAAAAAATGTCAAGAGGTCATAATATATGAGAAATCTTTGTTTTATTTATATACCTCGAGCATGTGTGTATATATATATTTATACAGTATATGTATATGTACATATATAAATGTATATACGTATGTATACAGTGTTCCTTATCTATATTGGTTCTCCTTTCACTCCCTCAGTACATCACAGATTTTTTTTTAATTCCAATCTCGTGAGATTTTTGCTATATCGTGGTATTTTATGGTAAATCATTTTGTAAAATTTCCAAAAATGTTATTTTCATAATAAAAACAAACATCTTCTAACCTGAAAAAATGAAATAGTAAAAATATGGCAAAAAAACTATTAGCTAGAGTAGACTGAACACATCATTGAGCATGCTCTCCTGTTCCCACTCTGATTGGCTCATGCATCGTAGCATCCCTCAGCATCTCCCCATGTCTGTCCGCCACTCGTTCACTTTGCTCTGCACCGATATACGTATAGGACGTTGCTGTAAAGTTTGTGCTCTTGTGTTTGGTGAAAGTTGACCCTAATTTAACACCCTTCTGTTACGAAGCCGCTGACACAGATGACAGTTAACACAACTACTGCGATAGGAGAGGGATCACTGTACACACACACACATATATATATATATATATATATATATAATTGCCCATGTATTAAAATGAGTTAACATTTCAATCTGATAATTAATCCAACTAGTCCATGTGATTTAAACCCATTGTTTTTGGCAGATAATAATAATAATAATAATAATATATCTTGTGAGAGTTATTTTTGACCTCATCTCTGTTCACCACAGATATCAATAAGTTCCTCTGGATGGTCCGGATCGGAGGAAGCACAGACACAGGCAAACACATCAAGGAGCACGACTACTACACGCCCACTGGAGAGTTCAGAGTGGACCGTGAGGGCTCACCTGTGCTGCTCAACTGCCTTATGTACAAGATGTGCTACTACCGCTTTGGCCAGGTCTACACAGAAGCCAGTGAGTAACTGAGTAGCTGCCGTTGTTTGTGTTGCTAGTTTTGACTGGTCAAACACACTGTGATGACTACACTCACTGTTGATACAAACCCAAAACAGAGTTGATTGTGTCACTCACTGGTATAAATTGAGGTGAACATCAATCGTGCGCTGTGTTTCTCTGCAGAGCGTCCGCCAGGTTATGACAGAGTGAGAAACGCCGAGATTGGCAACAAGGACTTTGAGCTGGACGTGTTGGAGGAGGCCTACACAACAGAGCACTGGCTGGTCAGGATATACAAGGTAAAACCACCGTCGGTTATTTACTCTGACTTTCTTCCAACAGTATCGTCTTTCAGTCTTTTGGAGCTAAAGTTACATGAAATGTTCCAAGATGCAGCTCCAGAAAATGAATTGACTTGTCAAAGCATTGAGAGATGTACTTGAACATGTGCTTAAATCAATTGTGAAGCAAAGAGTAGGAACATGTGTAGCTTGAGCCCAGCAGACTCAAGACGAGAACAAGATTACATTTTTAGTGCAGTACACAAGTGCTGTTAAAGTTATGTTAAAAACTACTAGCTTTATCACATGTATATTTCAGACAAGTGTCCTCACATCCTCCTGTGTTGTATGTTCCAGGTGAAAGATCTGGACAACCGAGGCCTTTCAAGAACATAAACCATCAGATGGCAGTGAAAAATCTTCTAGCGCACAGCACTGAACACCTTCCCCTGTGGTCTGCAGATGAATGAAGACAAAAAAGAGAACGTACTTTTTATACTTTTTGTTTTGGGGGAGAAATTTGCATAAGAGATTTTTTTTTTTGTGGATGATTTTTCTTTTCTTTTTTAGTTTTATTTTGTTATAAAGAAATGTCATGTCTGAAATCAGATAAAGTCCATGTCAAAACAGCTAGTCTGATTTCAGAGATTTGCCAACAAATTGTCAAAAAAAGCAGTGTTCATCTGAGCACTTTGGATTTTTTACAGTCCGGCCAAATAAAGTGGGATTAAACAAATAGTTGTCGTCTTTCTTATTTGCATGGAGTGTTGATCACTTTGTTTTAATTTGTATTTACTTTTACACAGATCTACAAATTATTTCACATTACTAATTAAATGTACCTCATTTCCTCTCCCTGGTTTCCGCACCTGTATCTTGAGCGTTGAAATTATACCGGAGATGTGCGCTCTCGTTTTTCAAACAAACATTCGGTCTTTGTCGAGTGTGTGTGGATGTCACGAGGCACAAACAAACCTTTAATGTTTAAACCACATAAAGCAGTTCTGTGTGCTGTTCAGTTATTTTATGGACACTAGTGCGTTAGTTTTTCTTTCGATAAACGTTTTTTGGCGGCAAGTTCACCTGCTAGTGTCCAGCGTTTTCATCTCATTGGACACTCAATGCACAGCGGATGGCTCGTCCAGGAAAGACAACTGTTTGAAAAACCACAAGGTAAGAATAAACTTTGAAGATGATTTTCTGTTATTACACGTAATTTCACTAGTGTAATTATAAGGATGTTATGTGAACAAGTTTATAAAATATATAATATATGAAATATATGCAGTGTATAATAGAGTAACTTGAGTGTTGAAATAATGAAATTAAATAATTTGATTCAGGTTCGATTTCAGCGGCAACATCATGTTTTCCCCGGACGAGCAGCTGGGCTGTCAGTGTTTCATGAACTCAGTCGACCTGAGGGATCCACAGATCGGTAGGTAATCGTCACACGCAACGTAAACATATTAATACCGTAAAAGAAACAAGACGGCAGATAGTACATGGCTTCCTGATTACTGCTAAAGAAATAGTTTGCACACAGTATTATAGAAATGAAAAAACTTAAGGAAATAATGAATCACAGACGGCATCTTTTGTAGAGTTTGTGATAATGAGAAACATTTTTTGTTGTTTATTTGTCAACGTTCCAGAGAAGTCCTGAAGAAAGCTAAGGAGCACAGCAGGCACATCAACACCATCCAGACGTCTGTAGACCTCACCATGTTCATCAGTGCCTCAATGGACAACACCACCAAGGTGAGAACTCTTCTGTAAATGGTTGCTGTGATAACAGTTGTTGAGATTGTTGTTAGAAATAAAGTCATCAGAATGACACCTGGCTGGCCATCAACGAGAACGTCCAGAGAAGAGTTTAGTTTTTAATCTTAAAAATGAAACCTGAGTTTGTAGTTTTTGAAGGTGACTATAGAGAATAGTTGTGTATGAAGATGCTCAGTCATCCAGGTTAAGGTTGAAGAGTTCTGTTATGCAACTGGACGTGACATTTTCTCAAGAAGACATTTGGCTTCTCATCTTCAGTTCTAACTGGTGGAGGGGAGTACAGCTAAGGTTTTTTTTGTTTGTTTGTTTGTTTGTTTTTGGGTTTTTTTGTTAGTCTTTTGTTTAGTTTGTTAGAAGCAGCAACGTAGTGCCCGTCAAATGACGCCGACGGAGAACACGCGGGGCTTCCCTGGATATTCCACCTTGTTGTTGGCTGAGCTAAACCGAACAACCGACCGCATTACCAGACAAGATTTCATCATAAAATGTGTTCCTACGCTAAACTGCCCTTGTGGAACATGATAAAATAGATATCTTTCGATAGAAGAAAAGCGAATTTAAAAAATAAAACAATCATATAAATTCAGGCATTTTTTTCACATGTATCAACGTTTTAGTAACTTTGCTAAAATAAAAAGATTTTTTACTACAAAGCGCGTTCTGATTTTTCACCACCAGGGAGCGAGTACACTAAATGAGCAGAGAAGGGAAATTAAATCTAAGTGTTATTGACTTTTTTCAGACAATAGAATGTTAACGCACAATTATTTATTAAAAATGGATTTTAAGTAAAATGACTGCCAGGTTGATATAGTGTTCCTTTGATTTATTCACTGTATAACTATAACTTCCAACTTAAAATGAGTTGAGATGAATCAATACATGTTTCTGTTTCTACTTATAGCTTTATTCTTATATATTTCTGCTTATTTGAAATACAATTAATTTTTTTATTTGGTGTATTTTAAAAAAGTTGTTTTTTTTTACTTTTTTGACTTAGTATTTTTGACTTAATTATTTTTTTAACTTTGTTTTTTTTCAGATTTCACATATATTCTATATTCTATGTTCTATATACTCTATAATCCTTTCCACATCCTGTAGCTGCAACATAACCTGAGTGTGAGTGGGCCTTGTCTTTGTTTCCCTCACCCCCCTTTATGACGACCATTTTCTCCTGTCTTCATCCAGGTCAAGGAACTGACTTAGACACATCATTAATTATATTTGATGTTCTCTCTCTCTGTGTGTGTGTGTGTCTGTCTGTCTCTTTATCTGTGTGTGCAGGATATGCTCTGTTTCTGAAAACTCCAACTCACTGCAGGTCCTAACTATTGAACTCTTTCATTATAGATGGGTTCAGTCTGACAGAGGAACAACCTTCACAGTCCTGCTGTAAAGGTACGTATATGTAGCTCATATATTGTCCATCCATCCATCTTTGTCCGCTTATCCATTACCGGGTCGTGGGGGGCAGCAGTCTCCATGACCGCCACCCAAAACACACTGCACCGTACCAGCCTCTCGTGAACCTTCCTGGAAAGCAACAACTGCCTTAATCGGGATTCGACCTTGCCCAGGAAGTGAACCCTGGGGTTCCACACCAACGACATTGCCTCTGGGCCAAAGTGCCACCTCATATATAGTGTAAGCTATATATATATAAGTTATAATAAGTTATTTCTTTACTAAGATGGTTGTGAATGTTGTGTAGTTTGGAATTTTTTTTAGATCTTTTTTTTCTCCCCTGGTTTAAATGATAGAACTAGGATAAAATCAAATCAAAGATAGAGTTCTGTTTTCACTCACAGGGACCTCTGGGTTGTAAATTATTTGTTAGCGTCACATCATTCATGGCTGACTGGCTGATGGAGACAGACAGATGGCAGTTTTGCTGCATCTTCTCCTGTGTTTCAAGACAGTCGTCTCCTGTAGCACAATTACGGAGAGAAGCACAGATGTGGCACCGGTGATTTCCCTGTTGAGGCATCACTGCAGCAGAAACTGGGTAAACACGTTGTTTGTGTCTGTGTTAGAGACGGTGAGCAGTTATTTATAGTGTACACATATCCCACGGAGCAGGCAGCAGTAATGTAGGCAGAGCAACAACAACTAATGAGGGGGAAAATCAATGGTGACACAAACAGCTTCTCTTCAGTGAAGCCTCGTAGCAGTCGACTCATTAAACAGCTGTCACTCTCTCTCCTGTCCAATCAGAACCTCTGTTACATTCCGATCTGTCAGCCGAAATAATGGAAAACAGGGAAAACTGATGTAACCCATCATCCTTCAGCTATTTTATAGATCAGAACACCTGACAGGAAGTCAAGGAAACAGGTCTGCCCTGATTTTTGCCCAGCAGGGGGGTAATACACATGGCTGAACAATCAGGTCTGTTTTACAGTGAATAATTAATCTCTCTCTCTCTCTCTCTCTCTCTCTTCACATAGACATGATGCCTTTCCTAGTATACTTCTGGCCCTAAATACACATTGGAATATGGGGAATTCAGGTAGACCTCGAGCAAATCAGATGAAATTCAAAATATAGACGTCATTCTATTTTTAGATGAAATAAATTTAGTAACCGTCTAAGTATTCAATCATGGAGTGCCATACAAATACATGCATTTGTATGTATTTAATTTATGTATATTCAGTTTATATGAGTAAATATATTTAAATAGTCGTTGTAGGGAGTCATGTCATTTGATAATTAGCTGTAGGAGAAATTGAAGAAAATGTTGTTTCCTTATCCTTCAGTCAAATGAAAAACATTGATTTTTCACACTAACGGTGAATTTATTTTATTGAATCTAATATCCAATAATGAGCATGTATTGGGGCACACACACACACACACACAGTAGTGAGTAATGAACTGAAGTGACCCTCTGGCTATACAGTTGGCCTCACATGATCTGTAAAATACTGCGAGGTATTTGTAACTTCAGTGTAACCCTAACTTTAAACCCTTCTTACACACACACACACACATCACTGCACGTTTGCCCTGCTCCGTTGACCTGCTGACCTCCATCCTTTTACACAACCATTTTTCTCAACCACAGTGTGAAAAGAACTGACCAGGAATGAAGTGGACTTTCTGCAATTTACTCTTTCTTTATTTACACTAAGCCCATAAATGTACAGTGTTTGGCTGATCAGATAAGCACTTAATGGTGAAGTTTCTTAACAGTGTTTGAGACAAACGGATTGAGACAGGAATGTAGCACCTTTGCATTAATGCTATTAGGGTCCCACAGCAGTGACCTCTGACCCGGAAGCTGTCCAAACATGCATGTTGTGTGTTCTGTCGTCGCGGTGTGTGTGGGATTCATATATTTTCTACTATTTCGACATAAATCCTACATATATACAGCACAGAGATACACACTCTGCATCACATTGACGTGGGACACTCAGCTACTCAGTCTGGTTCACGTCGAGGGCGAAGCGTATGACTGTGCTGCTCTTTCGGGGTTCGGGCCTCTCCAGTGGTGGTGGGGCTTCTCCTCCAGCAGCACCCTGGGAATGATGATGACTGGGTCTGAAAACCTCGTCCTCAGCACCTCTAGGAGGCAGCACATGATTAGGACAACAGAGGAGGGAAAAGACAAAAAGACAAACATGATGAAACATCTATAGGAGGGTTAACGACAATAGAGCTGAGCACCCTGGGAACTCTCATTTCAGGAGAAGCAATACAAGAGCAGCGGGGAAAAAATGTTTGTGTTAGATTCATATGATTTTACATATAATGAAATGAAGAATTTAAGGGATCGCCAAAAATTCATGGCTTGAAAAATGTACGAATATTTCAGGTGGTGGAGTTGCTGCTGGTGTATTCAGATCAGTGTGTGTTTAATTTGCACTGGATTATTGATATGTGGCTCCAATGGTGCAATGAGAGTCTCGGGGTGTTCTAAGAAAGACTAAAAAAAAATATATATATATATATATTTTGGAGATAAACAACATGCACTTACAATTTTCCTCAAAACTGCATTCTCTTTAAACACACAATGCCTCATTTTTCTATCCATACCTGGCTCTACCAGACACTCATGCAAAATTTATAAATAAAAAAAAAAGTCTATATAAATAAAAATTGACAGCAGATCAACCAGAGAACGGTGGTAACATGCATTTGAGACAAACAGAAAACAAAGAAAAACAACCAGCAACATTTTATCCAACAAGCTGAGATGCAAAGTGCTGCACGTCATCGCTTTCATAGCATGTCAGGCAGTGACGTCCCCTCTCCTCAGCAGGTGAAAAATTAATAGCCACGATTCATAATTTACACCATCACTCTGCCTGGTTTGAGGGCGATGCAGCTGAGGTTCATGTCATTGGAGATAAAACCTGTGGCCTCCTTAAGAACGGCAGCAGCTTAAGGAAACATTCATGTGAGATGTTGAGTACAGGCAGGCAGACAGCCCTATTGCGCGAGTGTCCATATGGAAGAGAAACAGAAAAGCTGCGACCCACTCGGCAGGTCAATTACAGTGGAACAATTTCAGTACAAAGTAAAATTGTGCCACCGTATTTCAAAGCACACGTCAATCATGACGGCAGAGACACACGTGAATGGGTATGGGTGGTATTCGAGGTCGGCTTTTATTCGCTTAGCTGCTTTTGTGAGCCTGTTACCTGGGATTGGGTAGAGCACAGCCCCACAGGTGCTGCTTTAGGGTCTGCACCCAGCCAATGTCTCGGATTGGCTGGCAGAGCTGTATGTAGTGGTGCTGTTTTAGCACAACCCTTGAAACGAATCAGAATGGCACTCGTTAGCAAACAGGAAACAGGAGAAAGCGGGTGTGACATCCTGATAGCAAAGACATCAGGCTAAGTACAGGAGAGAAGGATGTGATGTCAGCAGATGGAATATTTCACAGTGAAATTGTAGCT